TTACATCATTATTTTCTAACCTTGAGTATAATTTCCATCCAGAAGAGTGAGCAGATTTTCAACCCTCTTGGTGCTAAATTCTCCACTGTCCACTTCATCTCTCAGCATGCTCACTGCACTCTGCACACAACTTCTCACCAGATCTATAGTATCAAATGCATCTTCCAAAACCTGAAAAAAATTATCACAAAATAATTGTGAATTATTATTAATAAGAAAATTAATAGCAATGATTAACACACACAACATTTAAACCACTGCTTACTGCTATCACTGCATTCTCAGAAGAGTAACTGTCAAGTGGGTGGGATATATTAGTCAACCAGTGAAACTGTCTTACATAACTCAGAATCAAAGATTTTCTGACAGATGCAGCTGTTTGAATTCAAAGAAACATTTAAATAAAAAAAATCAATTTTTTTTCCCATATTGATATCATTGCAATATTTTAAATATCATCACTGGATATCGGATTTGATTACCACTGATTAAAAGTATTGAAAAAAGAAGACAATAAATGTAAAAGAGGGAAAGTGGTAATAAATGTTAAACCTACTCAGAGATGAATAAACTGCACTTTGGTTGTGTGGAAATACCGATATTCTATCAAGGTTTAAATGTGGTAAATAACACTTACAGTGGATTCAGCTATTTGTGGTACACCGGTGTAATCTTCTGTCTCCATGGCTTGGAAAAAAAGAATTATTATTATTATTATTATTATTATTATTATTATTATTATTATTATTAGTAGTAGTAGTAGTAGTAGTAGTAGTATACAAAAGGAAAAACAATTGGTGATTTACCCTCAGGTGGATCTTCAAAAAGATCACTGATGCGTTGGTTTTTCAAAGAAAGAACATCTGAAACAAACTCTTTTGATCTTCTGAGATCATCGATGTGAACAGATCTCCAAGGACCTGAAAAGGTATGAATAAGAAAGACACAGTTAACTGTTGTCCTCTGTGAACACTCAATTTTGTGATGTTCATGTTTAATGTGTTACATAACACATTAAACATGAAACATGTTTATTAAAATATATATTAACATTAAAACATCACAAATTTGCTGACATGAAATAAAACCTTTGCTTTGTGCGTGTCTGTGTGTGTCTGTGTGTGGCAGGACTAACCGCCTTGAAAACCAACATAGGTCGTCCCACCCTCCATTCGAGGTAGCTTGATGACAAAGTACACAAACGTCTTCATGTCATCAGTAGTGTCATACTTGTTTATTTCATTGAAGCACGAATATCTTTGAAATTCAAACAAGAAAGTAAGAGAGAAAATTAGAAATTTTGCACTAATGTTAGCAAATTATATAAAAGTCATTATGGGATGATCTTCCTGCTCACTTGGCTGAAGAAAGAATATTCCTTCTGTGGGAGCCTTCATCATACTCCGCTTGGATAATAAGCACTTTGTCTGCAAGTGTTGAGCCCAGAAATTCCCTAGTATTGAGACATATAGCAAAACATATATTTGAATAAACACAACAATAACTAAGTGGTATGTAGATCCATACATCTACTCACTATAATAGACACCATTAATTTTAATTCATTATAATAAGAAAGATCACAAGATATAAAAGCACAAGGGTGTAAAAAAAATAGACAGGTGATCAGTTTAATTAAAATGAACACCAGCAGATGATTTATTTATTTATATTATGAATGCATACCTGATTTTCTTGAGGAAAGAGTACTCAGTATCAAACTGCTGGAGTGATAGCAGCTGTACAGCATCCAGCTTTATCTGGTTCTGCAGCTGTTGAGTGTCTGTTGCAGTGAGCAGCCTGGAAAAGGTTGTAACCTTGAGAATAGAAAAGAACCAAGAATGACAAAATGACAAAAAAAGACAAGCCACATTTTGTGTATTTTCATGTCTCCTTCATGTGTCATTATATGTAATTAATAAAGCATTCCACAAACTATTTGGTATTGTTTATACACAGTATCAGGTTTTCCTCACATTTAGTTAGTTAGTCTTTTAACAAAACCAAATAAGAATTATACTGAAGCCTTAAAAAATTTAACCTAGTGCTTCTACTTTCCATGATAATATGAAAGAATGAAAAAGCAAACTTGAAAAACCCTTAGCAGAAATAGTGTGAGAAATTAAGAGTATATTAAGTAAAAACTAGTTGTAATATGAATTTTTCTTTAAAAACTTACTCTCAGTGCAAATAAAGAGACCTGACATCAACACCCAACATATGCCCATAATGACACTTAATATTGCTTCTTTTGAACTAAAAATTATAGCAGTTTCAACGGGCCTAGAATTTAAGACAGATTATCAATACTTGGTTTAAACAAGTTACAAAGTTATTCGGTTGCTGTGTAACATTTGAAAGCAAACAAAAAAAAATTACCTCAGTGAATAAGAAGTGTGACTGTTCAGGCTGCTGGGTGTGATACACAATGTAGTCTCCCAGTGAACTGTGCATTGCTTCTTTAACAAACTCTTGCATTAAATGCTCTCGTTCCTCATCAGGCAGTTTGGATTT